ACTACCCTATTAACTTTTAATAAGCAGCAAATTAGGAGTTTATTGAGGCAAAAGTCGTAGTTAATGGTTTGTTAATTGTGAGAATTGGACCTTAAGACCCTAAAGAATCATATCAACTTATATCAAATGGGCATCGGATGACCCCTTTAAGACTACAGTTAATGCAGAGACGAGCATATAACACACAAGAATTAAGACACTCCATTGTAATTTGCTTTGTATTGTTTATTTTTCTTTGCAGATTTCCTTGCAAACCATCCTTAAATATGTGACACCATAAAGAAGCCAGTTCCTTTCTAAATCTGTAACAATAGCAGCTAGCTACAAACTGTCATTAAGCCCAGTGTCTTCCATAGTGTCGGAGGTTTGTAAAGCTTTGTCGAAAGCACTGTAGCCAGAGTTTCTTCATTGTCCTTCAGTTGCCCAATGGGAAAATATTGCAGCTGATATTTGGTGACTGTGGAACTTTCCAAATTGAGTTGGCAGCATAGACTGAAAACATGGCAACATAAAGGCACCAATGCATGCCCGGAGAACTAATACAACTACAAGGGCGCACACTCCATTGTTCTATTATTCGAGAGCCTATTTAGTTCTGTGCTTCTTGAACACTAACTGAACCTGCCCCCACCAGCCAATCTTCCTGGAACAGGAGTCCAAATCCTACATGTGATAGCCTAATGTGTCCCTTTCCAGATATGTCACAGGTCAAATTAATTTCATGTAAGAGTACTTTTGTGTAATATTACACACCGATCATACATAACATTATGACCACCTTCCTAATAATGTGTTAGTCCCCCCTTTGCTGCCAAAACAGCCCTGACCCATTGAGGAATAAAGAAACGCACTTCAAATACTCACAACCAAACACAGAAATGCGCTGCAAATATGCACAGACCACAATGGAACCCTTAAGAAAATTAATTATGATTTTACTACAAATAAAAAAACAAAACAAAAAAAAAACATGGTTACTATAGTTAAACCATGGTAACCACAAATTAACCATAGTTTTGCTAGACTGACTTACCATAGTTTAACCATGACATTTGTAGTAAAACTGTGGTTATACAAATGGTACTAAATATGCCGCCCCCCACCAAAAAAACCTTCAACACCAACAACAAAAACATGATTACTACACTTTTACTATAATAAAAGCATAATTTGTGGTTGCCATGGTTTAACTATAGTAACCATTTTTATTTTATATAATAATATGTACATAATATATATATTACAGTAAAACATGGTTCATTTACGTAATTTAAATTAATTTAAATATCCAAAAAAAAAAAGCTAAGGAATCATATGATTAAGTCAAGTCACCTTTATTTATATAGTGCTTTTATCAATACAAATTGTGTCAAAGCATCTTTACAGTATCAAATAGGAAAATAGTGTGTCAATAATGCAAAAGGACAATAGTAAACACTCAATTTTCAATTGCAGCTCATCATTGAACACAGTGATGTCATCATCCAGCTCAGTTCAGTTTAAATAGTATCTGTGCAATCAAGTCGACGATATCGCTGGAAATTAAGTGTCCCGAACTAAGCAAGCCAGAGGCAACAGAGGCAAGAAACCAAACCATTGGTGACAGAATGGAGAAAAAAACCTTGGGAGAAACCAGGCTCAGTCGGGGGGCCAGTTCTCCAGCAGGTTGTTCCATGCTGCAACAAAGTCAGATTGTGCAGAGGACTCATCTGGATTCCGTGGTCTTGTCCCGATGGCCGTCTAAGAGACAAGGTCTTCACTGGGGATCTGTCTCTGGAACTCATCTAGTTGTCCTGGTCTCCGCTGACATTCAGGGCTATAGAGGTCGTCTCCAGGTGCTAAACCACTATCTGCGCTGTATATGGATTGGATCTGGTGGCTACGGTGACCTCGGAATAAGAAAGAAACAGACTAATATTAGCGTAGATGCCATTCTTTTTACAATGTAACAAGTACATTGGGTGTTATGGGAAGTGTTCATGGTTCCGGTTGTCCTAATTAATGCTTTACATCTTTAATCCTTTAACGGATTTGAATATTACATTTACATTTACATTTAGTCATTTAGCAGACGCTTTTATCCAAAGTGACTTACAAATGAGGACAATAAAAGCAGTCAAAACTAACAAAAGAGCAACAATATATAAGTGCAAATGACAAGTCTTAGTTAGCCTAAT